TTCTAATACGTTCATAAGCATGAATCGAAACGTACCTACGTATTTTTCCAGTATTTAATTTGGTGACCACGAAAAAAATACCAGTTCACATCTTCTTAAAAAAAAAAGCTAAAGATATAGTGCTAAATCTTTTAAATTGAACATGGATATTATAATACTACTAGCTGACTCGGCGAACTTCGTACCGCCCAAAAGTAATATTTAGCAATAAATTAAAATTGCGACTATAATTTGAGATTTAAACTATCCTATCTCTCAAGTTGGATCGAACTGCACATGGTGTGCGAATTTTATTATAATCGGTTAAGTGGTTTAGGAGTCCATTGAGGACAAACATTGTGACACGAGATTTATATATATTAAGATATTTTCTTGACCGGATCAATAAGCTTTAAGCATTCACACTGTAATAAAAACTCGTTGAAGAAAAGCAAAAACGTTACTTCCACGAAAAACAAAGACAAAAAACACAATTAGAAATTTTAGGTCCTTCAAGATAATTGACTTGAAATTATTTACATTGTAGCTTGTGCTTTAATTATAACTTAAAAAATTATGTGAAGCTCATTATTTTTTATTTGTCCCCCTTTGATTTGTATTCCCTTTTGATTTGTATATTAATTCAGTTGCTAATTCAGTCACGAACAAACTAGAGCATTCAAAAAATATCGTGTTATGAATGGAAATTCAGAATAAAAATAAGCTTCAGATATTATAGAGATCTTAATAATTGAGAAAGAGACTTCAGATATTAATAATTGAGATTTCGTTAAAATATAATTGTAGTTAGTACAACTTTTTTATACCTTCACTATGGAGACGCCTTATTAAGTTTCAGGGAGGTAGGAGACGTAGGTAAAAAAATATCTTTATTATTATTTATTGAATGTGGAGACGTTTAATACGTAAATGTTGTTTGTCAATACTAACTTTGAGTACATAAAACGATTTGTAATGAGGATAATATTAATATGTGTAAGTAACTAATTTTGATATTGCAGAGTAATTGATTTATAAACAAAGTTACACAATTTTAAATTTGTAATATGTATTTCAATCCAATAGTGACTTCATTCTTATTGGTTTATTGTGTATAGTAATTAGTAATATAGAATACAAGAACTTCATTTGAATTTAAACTTAAAATTATGCCACTGTTGTAGAATTTTATTACTGTGAAGTTCTTAAACATGTAAGTATATCAGAGGTTGCCCATCTTTATGACGATACAAAGTTGCAGTAGGTAGAAAAAAAAAGAATGTCACAACGAATATTTTTCACGCACCGCCCATTAAATAGCAATTATATGGCCTTTACAGTTTAGTAACTGTTAAATAATTCAGTTGCGACGCATAATTCTGGTATAATGAGTAACCTTTAATGAATTCACATTTATTTTTCTAGAATCTACTACGTTAACAGTTTGTTCCTTTATATAGGCTTAGGTATGGCCTAGTTGCTATTTTGTAAGAGTTATTGTTGTGTTTTAATATTATTAATTAATATATACTGAAATAAGATTAATAGGTATTCATTTTGCGGTTCTTTCTAGAGCAATCCCATTTTAATTATAATCTACTATCCATTCAAATAATAAAATAGATCGAAACCTGGTGAGAAGATGAAACATAATCTCATTTAAATTAGCGCAACGTAAATTAATATGAAAAAAGCACACCCCGATCCACTTAAGTAATTAAAAGCCGGCACAACCAACACCACCAAAGAGCTCTACTCCAACACAAACAGAAAGTAGCTTTTAAAAAAATAATGTCACAATATCCTCTCCACGGTTCGCGATGTCCAAACACTGCCTACTTTTCACGCTACGCCTACGCGCTCCGTATTTCAGCGGCGTCGCCGTCATGAAAACGGTATTCACCTTTAATACTTAGCCAGCAACGTCCAGAGTCGCGTATACGGAGGTCGCTCGCACCCCATCTCTTTCTCGCGTATTAATCAAAATACGAGTTTTCTACTTTGACGTGAAATCGTAGCAAATGGATAAGGTATTGTTTGGTAAATTGAAACTATGGTTTGTCGAGCAGCCAGCTCAAAGAGGTCTCTTCCTCTTGCTTTTGTTTAAGGAAAGCGTACTGGATTGACACTCGCTTGAGAACAGGGAGGCCTATTTATAGTGGCTGAGCGCAAGCTTGGTTTGGACATAATTGCTATTGTAGGCTAAAGGGTTTACAATAAAGTCTTATTATAGATAGACAATGATTGCAAATGTTGATGCGGATGCCTCGTTAATTACCTGGGTTGCTTGTTTAATATTTACCAGCGTTGGGCTCGTCTGCTTTATAATAATAGGACGTGGGACAAAGCTTCGTTAATGGCGAAGATAATTACTAAGATTCCGAAAGGATATATAGATAATATGGAATTAATTGAATTGTTTAGTCTTTTCCTTTTTATTTAGGTCGATTGTGTTGAATTTTAATTACGTCCCCATTATTGTTATACATGAATTTCTTGTTCCTGCATGTCCAGGAGTAAGTACGACGTACTAAATTTATAAACTCACTCAGCTGTTCTGTTGTTGTTAATGAATGAAAATCATATTAACGGTTAATTGTTCTATCATGTTAATAGAAGAGAGACGGAACTACACAGATTTTATATTAAAAATAGTTTTAGATATGATAATGATATATTTTTATATCAAAAACTTTCCTTGCTAATAAAAACCTAGCAGGTAAAATGTTTAAATAAAAATGAAATAAAGATTCACAATTCAAAATTATCCGCTAGAAAACTACTTGCTAATTTAACAGTGAATTCGAAATAATAAATCTTTATTCTGTCAAATTATACTGAAATTACCGGCAATCGCTTCCATTTTCAGTAAAAAGCGAGCCGAGCGAGCAATTACGCCTGTTTTTTTTCGTAGTACTTACCTAACAAAGACAATAATTTCGATATGATTGCTCACGTGGGAACATGCCGTCTCGATTCGTTGTGGCTCATTGTCATTGAGTAATGAGAACAACGCATCACATGTAACAGTAGATAATAAAAAGAATACTCAATTGAAAACATTACGGTTCTATTTTGATAAATCGTGCACCAAAATTGATTGTATGGGAACAGAACTTAGCCAACTTCATATTAAAATATTTTATTACCTAGTTCATTCATTCAAGACTCGATCTGCACAAAACTAAAATTTGAAGTTGGTGCCAATGTGTCAAATTTAAGCAGATCAAAGTTGTAGTGTACGAATTGTGTTAGCTTACTAACACTTATTTAGGTAAATTTTAAACTTATACCCAGTAGTTGTGTTGGCAAGGACTTGTACTTTCAGATGTAGGTAATCATTTATGGGATAACTATTTTTTGTTTTATTTTTATACATGTTAAAGTATTACAGAGTTTACTGTACTGACCAAGTTGGTTAGCATAATAAATTTTTAGAGAAATAAATTTCTGATATCTTACAACATTAGACTCAAACTAAGCAGAACTTGCACTTTTAATTGATATTGAATAACGAATGAAATACATTACCTGTACAAGTTTATATAAGTACAAACGCGACTTGGGAAAAATATTTGTGCACATCATACACATTAATGCCCCTACCGGGAACCCCGAACTTTTGGAGCAGAATGTGAAGGTAGCGGCAAACCATAGACAAATTTCCTTGCGCAGTAGACGTTTCTGTATGTACAATTGCTACTGCGCATGCTTCCTTGTCTATGTTCGTTGCTCAAGAAGTTTGCCGGGGTGTATAGAATGACATGCAACAGTTATCTAAACATAGAGTATTGTTAAACTTTACACTCATTTTCTATCTATGTATTTGTTTTTTTAAATAGGAACGTATGCGCTGGACCTAATACGGAGGATTGATGACGCAAGATGTGGCTAACGCATCAACCTTGACATTTCAGATAATAATTATTTTGCTTTACTCAATATTGAGTCACTGATCAATTATTGATAAAGTATTTGCTGCTTGTGCTCGACCTGCTATGATTATATAAACTGCCATGGTCAACGGTGTTATTCGCAATCAAACCTACCTAAATAACTAATTATTTTGACAGTTGCTATGAACGAGTAAAAGCAAAAATGAAGGCCATATTCTGAGAAGTGAATTAATGTGTAACTGTCAATTTATCTATATATATTTGACGTTATTGTGTCAGTCTATTCATCATATTTTATTGTTTAAAAACGACGTACTTTTTATCCTTAATAGAAGGGAAATATTTTTTTATTCCGTATGAAATTTATTTCACTGCATAATTTAAGGCCATAAATAATGCAATCGTTAGATCATTATCAGAATTGAGTGCTACGAATATTATTGATACGGGAATCAATGAAAAAAAATATATAGGAAGGTTATTGATAAAAAGATTTTAAGTTGAAATATTTTATTAGACATCAATATTTCTGAGTAATGCAACCAAGTGCATTAAATCTAAATATCGTATTGATTAATGGTGGCTCAGCACGAATAATCTGCATCGTCCACGAAACGAACTGACCTATATTCCAGAGCCGAAAAAAAATCGATGCCACGATAATCCGACACGCCTTCAGCGACAGAGAACTAATGTTAAACTATTAATTCAGAATACATCGACCGTTGGTCAAGATCAATTTTTGTTTTAACATTTTTACCTATGACAGAAAACCTTAAGGGTACGAGATCATCATTCTTCATTCTAGCAACTGTGTAACAACAACTTAAAAAATTGTTAGAAATTCGATTTTAAAAAACAAATTTTAACGTTTTTTTCGAAAAAACGTTATTTTTTTGTAGCTCGTAAAATGATGCCAAGAACATAAAATTTAAAAGCAGCTTTAAATTTGGAACGCTAAATCGTTTTTGATTGCGTTTTGATATTACTTTGTTTTCTACATTAAGAAATTCAGAACTACAGAATTCTTTAAAATAAGGGCACACTGTATACGCGTCGCGTTATAAATTACCGAGTTTTCCGCGGAAACGTTTGCCAAAAATGCTTATCAAGGGCGGTACTTACGGTCGCGCCGCCCTGCCCTCCCTCCGGTACGGGCTCACCCCTCTCGCCGTCCACGCAAAAGTAGCATTTGTCCGGCGGCTTCCAGTCCGTGGGCTCCGGCAGCTCCAGCTTCGGCTGGGTGGCCGGCCGCTTGATCAGACTCTCCAGGATCGTCTCCGGCCTCGACGGCTGGCTCTTCTCCTCCGCCTCGGGCGCGTTTATCTGCTCTATGGTCTTGATCTTGAGCGCGGGAGGGGGGTCGGTGCCAGGCATAGACTCGTCGCTCGAAGCTTCGGGCTCGCTCCTCTTTGGTATCAACGCGTCCTGGCATAATTTCCATTTTCTTCGACCCATCAACTCCTCCGCCACCCGTTCTAGACCTGGAATTCGAAAAAGGATCAGGTTAAATAAATAAGTTATTAATGATAATAGTTATTAATGCAATTATTTTATAATGAGGGGTATTCAAATACGAATCTGGGCTTCGAATATGTGTTGGTGATAATAGTATCACATGAGTGTTTTAATACCTTATTATAACACTCATCTGATACTACATGACTTTAGATCCATTACTACATTATTCCTATATATATTTTTAAATATAAATCATTACGTAAAATTTTGGGAAAGCCTAATAGATAGATAGTGATATTGTAATTTAAAGAAAATAATCTAATCATAAGACGCGCTGCAATACTTCCGATATTTTGGTAAGGAGAAGATGGATATAACTTCAACACATTGTTGGAGTTCCATCATCTCCTTACCAAAACTGTCTGTAATTCAGTATCAATATTACAGTTTTCATTTCCACATGATATAAATTTTACTCTTGGTTGGTTTGGTTTTAGTTCAAAAAATATACAACCATTCTTAATTTCCTAAGAAGTCTTAAAGGTACTGGGAGATTAGGCGATGGCTGTGTTTGGAGAAAATTGGGCAAATATCTGGCAACTATAAATAATATATAATAACCGTAAAATTTCAATAAAATGGTATTTTGCAATAACTCCTAGATTTAAATTGACTTTCACTAAACATAAACACGAATGAACATCAAATAAAGTTAGTAAGATTTATTCATCTTAGAAAATATTGGACAGCATCACTAGATCGGTCAACATTGAGGTGCGATACACTAATGAGAAATAAATAATTATATGTTAAGATTTTGAACACAACATTTCCGAATTTTTCGGTGGTTTCTGGAATATTTTCCAAAAAAATTAAAATATCTCAATAACTCCCTGTCCTGGCTTTCACCAATATACAATATATTAAAACAGTGGTGTAGACAGAATATCCAATTCGGTGTAGATTTATTAAATATGTCATATCTTATAACACTGGATTCCCCTTATTAATAAATGAGGAATACGCTTAGACTACTAGTTACCTACTTATGTTCTTTGGGGCGTGTATTGTTTATAGGACTCATTTGTCATTCCATGAACAGAGACAAAACATAGAGTATCTAATCCAAGCTTAGCCGTCGTTTATAAATAAGGGGCTAAAAGTTTTAAGTATGCATGGTTAGTATCCATCCACTTTTATAACCTTTTCTAAGCGCTGTCAAGTGGAACTTCCAAACTGACAGCTGATAACAAATTTAAACGACTCATAGGCAAGTCATGCCCTATTATTAACATTCTCTATAATATATAGTTAGCTTCGGAAATGAAAAAAGGCTTGGGTTATTATGCAGTCAATTTACAACGCAACCACATCGGATTCTGTCAAATATGATCATAATATTATATTTTTTTGTGTATCTTTAGCATATCTACATTCCTTAACTCAATTCATATTAACGAAGGGTCGTTTTTATTGTTGATCCGTAGTATTATTAAATAATATCAACAAAAAATCGCCACACGTCCTTTTCCCGTTGTGTACGCATTAACGTCTATAAAAAGTGTTCACGTTAGAATTTGAATTGCAATCATAAACAAGGTGGAATAATTAGCATAGAGTATGGAACAAAAACTGCTCATTGTCTATGGCATCCGCATATGGGTTTGCCAACGGTTCGCCTTGCCATTGAAATGTGCAGACGCTTTAACATTGTATGGTATGGACAAAAAATGATTTCGTTGAAGTGAATTGAATTTTCTTATGCTATTATAAAGATTTCGATGAAGTTAGTACTGTTTTATGATCTTTGTTAAGTGAGTTTTTTTATACTAATAATAAATCTTCTTTATTATTTTATTTTCTATACTACCTATATGTTATTTGTTGAATCTATATAAAAATCTTGTATTTCGGTCTCACTCGGCAATAGTTTGGTCTAGTAATGATGAAAATGATCTTGTACCACAATCGTCTATAGTGACCGCTTAATGTTGCTATTCAACACTCATGGAAGAAAAAGACAAAGTTTATATTTCACTAGAAAAGAGAAACATTATTCCTGGAGGATTCACCTCATCTGGAGGATTAAAAAAAGCCATCTAAACCCTCATAATAGTTATCTCGTACCTATCAAATGAGGTTTTTTAATTAAATTCGATAGATCTGATGCAAATGATTGATGTCAAATGTTTCTGTATTTCAGAAACTCTAATATTTCTTCTGCATGCTCGTTGAAACGATAAAAAGTAGAACACATTAAAAACGGGTGAGTGATTCTCACGTACACATGCAACCTTACAACTCAATCAAGAGCAGAGATCACGCTCAAACGAACCTCCAAAGAAAGTTCAAAAGAAAGAAACCTCCAGATGATAGACCTAACGTTATAATTTTCTAACGTAGAAATTTTCAACGATAGCGATAGCTCCCAACTCACGTTCCAACTGATGCGAGACCCTCACAAGTTAATATTGTAATTAATTCGATGGCGATGAACTCACAAGGCGAGGGGCAATAAAAAATTAATTACACCTCCGAGCTTCCGAGGCAGTCGGTAGGACGGGCAGTTTTGATACCGATGTTCAGACCATCAGAGCAGTTACAATCTTCGCGAAGAGTTTTTCGGGACTGCATTGCGCTTCTTGGCATTTCAGAAATTCAGTCACAAAACAATTAGTGTTTGGATATCTGTACTTACTGTTTAGCCTCTTTACAAAAAGTTGACACAATTAAATATGAAATAGTGCCAAAAGTATTGGGTTCGCGCTGGCATGGTGAGAGTAGCGGGAGCGGAACTTTCTGTATTATCAGCATTTTAATCTTCTTTCGATTATCTTCGATTGAGTGGAGTTCAGTTAATAACGGATGGGATGGAAGCATTTAGCTGGAACTTGTTTAATAACAACAATTTTAAGACATCGCTAAGTCAATATTAATCAGTCAGTTTTGTAGTATCTCATTGAAAAATATAAATATCCGACGATAGAAACCTTGGCATTGCCAACACAATTGCATCCAAGTGTGTACGTCACAAAATAACAATTAAATTCACTCAATACTTATGGAATACTTAATATTAATTGACAACAAAAGGTCATTTTAGCGAAATAGCGTGACAAACCGGCGGGCGCAATGTGACGATAAACAAAGGATCGTGTGTACCAACTACTGATTGGCTAAAACTGCTATTAGACTGGTCTATTTCAAGGTCGCCGTGAGTCAGTTTGCATTAATGTGTGCATGTTTGATGAGTGGCGCAACGTATGGAAGGTAGCGGAGCCGGAGCGGAATGCAGTATTCTTTACAAGTCAAAATAAAAGGAAATTAAGCTAAAAACTCTGGCAGTTAAATGTTTGAATTAAAATTATATAAAATACTCATATTAAAGGCCACTTGCAATAATGTTTTTCTTATATTCCTTAGATAGATAAAAGCTCACGCAAGGTGCAACGTTAATTAAAAATAAATCACACCTACGATACGAAAAGCATCTTTAGTAACTGAAAATAAAATCAAACTGATTTAAGCTAAATCCTATCTTAAAACATCACTACATCTTTGTTATTTCTTTATAGTGACATAGAGATAGAATTGAACTTTTTTTTTAATTTAAATTTTAAAACTTTGGTGAAAATAAGCCTAAGTAGTTAATAATCGCCTTTAACAAAGATAGATTGAACGCTGAGACAATAAAAGATTATCTTTGCGAAATGACATCGTAGAATTCTTCGCCCTACCCAATGTTATATGTGAAGTGGAGTAGAATGAGGAAAATAGGATAGATACGAGTCGCTAGTGCGGCGGATTTGTGTGTATACAAACCACCTCAACTTGCCGGCCTGTAAAATGCATCTACTACATGCAACATTCCTTGGACCATAGTCCGTCCTATAAGTAAAACAAAACGATGAATGTTGACTATATAACTTTAATATAAAATACCGAGCATTATTGGATTACAGGTTTACTTGAATATTTACATGCTAGATTTCATTCATTCCATTTCAATTAAGATAAGTTTGTCGCTCTTCTGGCACCAAAACAAAAGTATAACAAATAATTATAACAATTGATAATATTCGAAGCCTCGGCCAAAAAAAAGACCCCAAATATAAGTTATAAGAAGTCATTGCAGTCTGGGGACCGGTCTGCTACTGTAAAATATAATTTAAGAAAACGAATACTATAATCTAAAGGAGAGCTGTCAGAATTTTGATTGTTCGCTCAGTAGTGTCTAGAATTATTTCCAATACATGCCTATAGTATACACTTAGTTATAAATAAGTCGTACGGCGTGTGACAGGTTATCCAAAACTATCAAATTTATCCACATGTATCTTTTTTACTAAAACAATGTCATACGTAAAATTAAAATCTATATGAAAATTTTTACACTGTGGGTGTGGTTAAATATCTTTACTCTAGTTGCTTTCCAAAAACATAAAATTGCAATGTCTTTTTTGTTTCAAACCTAGTCTCGCCATCTCTTATTATTTGCGTCTCAAACTAAACGAAGTGATTCAATGCGGAAACATAGTTCGTCCTTGTTTGGCACATCGCGAATGTGCGCGTTGAATTGTCGACATTATTCGCTGTTAATTATCATTATTAAATAATATCCTCCTTGAGAATGCACAGAAAAAAACCAGTGTACAATAGGTAAGGAGTGGGATTATGGATTTATACCATACAAAACATGTGTAGGACCGGTTTCTTTAAGCTTACTACCTTGGGATTAAGCTTTAAGAAAAACCGCTATGATTACATAAAAAAAATTATACCACATCTCCTAAAAATAAAGGCTGATTTACTATAATTATCTCGCAAAGCGTAATTATATGCAGGAGTCAAGAAATCTAAGTTAAATTCTTTAAAAACTATAGTAAGTTAGTAGTAGTAATAATAACTTAAGTGCTTCCTATCATCTGATTAATTTTCAGTAAAATAAAAAGTATTTTATACCTGTTACGTACAGTTTCAAAATCTTAGGAATTCTTTACGATTTTGTATGTGTAATCTAAGATTTATGT